CGACCATTCAAATTTATGTACCGCTGGCCAGCTTCAGATATTAAACACATACAAAAAGCCGATTGAATATGTCAGCCACATTTTGAAAAAGAATATGAAACACCAATTCAACCTGAATCTTTATCGTTTATTTTATACAGACTAGAAATTATGTTCGAGGCTATCGAGATACCTTCTTCTAGCTACCGATGAAGAGTATCTCAACTCACACAAATACACTGCCTTATTTAAATCTCTTGAGTAGTTTCATGTACTGAATGGAAATTTCAAAGTGAAAGACGTCATATGAGACTTAATTTATATTAAACTTATCATATTTAAGACGATAACAGTTTTAGAATAAAAACTATCAATTACTTTATTTGAGATTGCTCTGTTTTTCACTGTCAACTTCTATCTTGATATTCGTTTCTAAAGAGATTCTCTACAGCCTTGTAAATGTAGCTAATCTGCATTTTACTTAAATTTTAATAAACATTCGAGCTGTGTCTCCGGGCTTCACACTTGAATGTTTTTTAAAAATGTACACCGCAATATGCGTCTGGAAACACCTTCAAAACATTTCAAGTGATAACTCTCTTAATAATATTAATTATTAGGCTTTAATATTGGAAAACAATATGAATGAATTAAAAAATATATATTAAGTTAAGCCTATCTATAAGACACAGATTGAGCATGCGCATATCGTTTCACTTGTTTATGACGTCCAATGAAAGTCGAAAAGCGAAAGATAACAAATACTTTAGCTCTCGTTTGGTCAACATTTCTTTTGCGTTTTACCTAGTGAAAACTCTTATAATTCCTGCATATCTAGTCCAGAGTTCAAGAAAGGTTGCTATTTGTAATACTTGAAATGAATTATCCTTGCGAAGTAATCACGTTTTGGATAATATTTATTAGGCTTTTGGGTTCATTGTGTGGTAGCTGTCCGAATCCTATAACCTCTGAGGAAAAGATACTACGGCTTATATTGCTCATTTCTTCCGCGACCATTCAAATTTATGCACTGCTTCAGATATTAAACACATACAAAAAGCAGATTAAATATGTCAGCCACATTTTCAAAAAGAATATTAAACTTCGATTCAACCTGGATTATTATCGCTTATTTTATACATAATTGTTTGCGTCTATCAAGATAACCGTCTGCTGCCATTATCAGTCTTCTTAGGTCATTTGCTTACGATGGTAACACGAAGTTACTTTCTTGGATTTATCTCTCGAAAGCTTCTCGAAGTTCTATGAATCGAAACCATATTTATATTACGAATAATAATTTGAAATATTGCTGTTGAATGTGGGACGATATCTAGGAATCTATGTTAGAGCATGCCCGCTGACGATCTCAGTATTTTTGAATGTATTTATATCAAAAGAATCAAGGAAATAGGCAAGAAGAAGAAACGCAGGCTCTGTGTACGAGATTGCTCTATAAGACACRCCTTGAGCATGYGCACTATCGTTTCACTKGTTAATGACGTATTGTTTTTGGGAACGGGGAACCCCCTTCAAAATGAAAGTCCAAGCGTAGACCAAGACCATGAAGTGTAAGAAGCTTTGGCTGTCGTTTGGTCAACGTTCTTTTTGTTTTTTATTAGCTAAAGAAAGAAAGACGGTTGAAGCACTTCGAGAGCGCGGATCCGGATGGCGTCAGCACTATGCTCCGTTCACAGATAAAGCAAAAGTTTTGACCAATCAGCGCCCGCTTACCATAAACTATATAATAGATATATATCATTATCGATCTTTGTGTGAATTTTGATTGACTTTCGATTTCTAACGCTTTGCTGGTCTTGCAAGCGTTGCAACAGTGCGATATGACAATAAGTAATACATCAAGCGCGAAAAGAAGTGTCATCCGATTTCCAAACACCGTGTGTTGAAAAAACGAGGCGTAGCCCAATTTTTTTAACCAACTTCGAGGTGTTTACATAAAGGATAAAACACTCTTTCAAGTACTTGATAAATTACTTTCTCAAAATATTATACAATTYTTGGATAAATTCAAAGCATAAGTTGCCCAAAATCAYTAAGATCACCTRTGAAAGAGCCGGACATGTTCAAAATCACTATCCCTATAATATGCGSCTATTTTTCTTTCTTTCTAGATTCTTTTAGACGTTTGAGTCTGGATTTTGAAGAGGATCCCCTTTGTCTTCGGTACGACATGATGTTACCGTTGGTGAAGGATGAGTAAGACAATTAAAACCAATCGTTTGACCTTGCAGTAAACCAAACAACTAAGCAAACCAAATATCCAATTTCAGTCCAAATTAGAAGGTAGTCCAAATGTGACGTACAGACGCAACTACAGCTTCGCGACCAAAGTATATTTTTCGCAATTAAAGATACAACCATAACCCATGACTCAAACTTGATGGAATAACTACAAGCTTTGAATGACATTGCCGGCTCATTGAGGATATATATTCAAGGTAGTACTTGTTACGTCCAAAGGGCGCTTTTTCTTTCTATTGTTATTGTCGATTATTGTTCGCATAGTTTCGTGTTTTTCGTGCAGTGTTTTAATGTATTCATGTTAAGTTAAGTACTTGCGCTTGGTTAGATTTTTTAGTTGCAACTCAGTGTCGGTAGGAGAGAGGACCTACTTGTTTAGAGAACGTTTTGGTTCTCTCGTTAGTGTCTTTTTGTCATGGCGTAAGGCAAATGTATTTGAACTTGTGGCTTTGTAATTACACTATGTTCAAGTATTCTTAATAAAACGCCTTCGATAATTGAGTCCTCGTTTCCTACAACTTGCTATTCACAGCTCTGTGGTAATCGTTGATGTATTCAAACTAAGGCAGGCTGCTGAACTGCAAAACAGGAAAAACGATGAGTGACACCGCGAGTAAAGACAGCAATATTAGGGAGAGAAAAAGATCACTAGCATGGTTTACGGCAGCTTCTGCAACGTACTTGGATCTTGGACTGCCTGCAAAACAACTTATCTGTCAGTACAGAGAATGCTTAGCAGTAGCCGAGGAACACAATGATTCAAAACTATTTCAATATGGTATTTCTGCTTTAAATACGCTAGATGACGACAACATCACATTTTATTTCACGAAGAAAACAGGAGCGGAATGTGAAAATGACATGACCGTGCACATAATGTCAGGGAATGCCCACTTGAAGAAAGAAGAATATGATGCTGTTATATCAAACAGTAAAATACGTCTTGCCATCGCACAAGAATCTGGT